CCCTCATTCAGGACCCAATGTACCACCATGGTGTTTCTATTTAAGTTGGCAAGCAAAGTTCAGGTTTACTCTGACCCAGACTTGGTGCTGATGCCAATTACCACCACAACATCCTAAAACTACTCATTATAGGACAGTAGGTCGCTGGTGTATATGCATATAACCAGCTAGCTGGCATTAATGAGGGCTATGAACTCTCTAACAGAAAAAAAGTGATAAAAAAGAAATCAAATGATCAAGCCACAATAATGTCAACGTGACATTAAGTAAATATTTTAATGGACTGTGATTACAAAATGGAAATCGCTAAAGTACACAGAAGCTTAAAAATAAGACTTCTTACCTGATCTGAAACACCAACATGTGAAAGACTGGAAATGGGTAGGATGAAAATAATATGGGGCCAAATTGGAGTGCATTACACCCTATGATCCAGCTACCTTGCATTTTAAAACAAAGTCATCAGTATAATCTTCGTTACAAACTTATGTCAAGTACAGGCATCACATATTAAACTCTATTATAAACAAATTTTACAAAGTAAAAGGTCTAAAGAATTGTTACATTATAATTCTTTTATCCCATAGCTTCGTAATAACCCTTTACCATAACAAGAGGAACTTGTGGTTTCTCAGGTACCTAACACTCTGTATTTTGATTCCAAGGTACATACTACTTCCCTTATTTTAACAAGTTTTAAATCAGGATGAGGCTCACAACCACATTTTTGTGGTTAAAAGTAATAAAATAATGGTGTACCTTACAAAGATCTTAGATTCAATGAAACATCACATCTGGTTCTTTGAATCCCTAACTATAAAATAACACACACCATGGGCACCACAATTACTAGTGGGCTTTTTACGAGGCAAACTCCTGAGCCCAGAATCCCGTGGAGTGAGGATTAAAACTCCTGCATGGTTACGAAACTCCCCAGGCGATCCTCATTCCACTTAGATGTGAGAACTTCAGCCCAATAGTACACCAATCCAAACACACAGAGAAGTTTGGGGTAGTGGTGGGGAGTAAGTCAGATCTAGGCCAAAAAAGCCCAAAGGTAAAATTCACAGGACAAGGGCTTCCCTGGTGGCGCAGTGGTTGGGAGTCCGCCTGCCGATGCAGGGGACACGGGTTCGTGCCCCTGTCCGGGAAGATCCCACGTGCCGCGGAGCGGCTGGGCCCGTGAGCCATGGCCGCTGAGCCTGCGCGTCCGGAGCCTGTGCTCCGCAACGGGAGAGGCCACAGCAGTGAGAGGCCCGCGTACCGCAAAAAAAAAAAAAAATTCACAGGACAAGAATCTTCATTCTTTCCTTAACAATGAATGGAAATCAACCTGACTCTGGGCCAGGTCTCCTGGGGGTGAGGAGGGAGAGGTGGGCAGTGAATAAATCTGGCAATAATGTGCTGAGGAACAAAGCAAAGCGAACTCCTGTTTGCGATGGTAACAACAGAGTGCAGAATTAAAACTGTCCCAGTATTTTCTTGCAGTTTCCTCTCTACCAAAGCAGAATTTTGCTTAAAAAGTCATAATCCAGTTGAAGAAATGAAATGGGGATCAGATTTCTGTAACTGACAGTACAAACATACCCAAAACAGAAAACAAGACAAAATGACATTTTGTTCCGTCTGCTCCTTCAGAGCTCCACAACTGTCGATTAAACAGCTGTAATGTAACCTACTTTAATGCTACACTATACCATCCAAGAGGAGAAAGAAAGATGGATGAATGGGTAGATGGAAAGAAAGAAAGGGAGGGAGAAACAGACATTATTGAGTACAACAGCAAAAATAAAACTACATGTTAACTATAAGAAGTTGAACATAAGCAGGATAAAGAAGTGTCTAGTTCACAAATCGCTATAAAATGAGACGAAAGGCACAAATTTACAGGAGTATAACTAGTAAACTATCTTCATCTCCTCATGTAACTATAATATTTTACATTATATTAGATGGGATGTTACAGGTTCCTATCCTGAATGTTTTAGAATTCCCCCATATATTCACTTCATTTATATGGTCTTTAAGTAGTCTGCAGAATTTCACTGCACCAGGGCAGACATAATTCTGTCAGTCAAACTTTTCATGTGAAGAAACGGAGGAGCAGAGTGGCTCCATCTGCCCAAGGGCCCTGGAGATGCAAGTTAGCAGCCATTTGCAGAGAACTGGTAGTAAGAAGATTCTAGTGTAAAACTTTCTGAACCAATTAAAAAATTCATTTTTTGGTCCTTCGATACAAGCACAGGTCCCTCAATACACATTTAATGATCAACTAACTGCAGAGGCTGAACGGTATGGAGAGTCAAGTAGTACACCTGCTAACCATGATACTATCTAAACAAGCCATGCAGAACTTAGGATGAAAATTAACGCAGACTCATAGCTACAGACGTCCACATAACTTTTTCTCACTAGCACACAAAAACCCACCAGGGTCCATCAATGGATGAATGACTAAACAAAATGTAATATGTGTCTATACATGGAATATTATTCAGCCATAAAAAGGAACGAAGTACTGATACAGGCTACAACATGAATGAACCTCTAAAACATAATGCTAAGTAAAAGAAGCTAGACACAAAAGATCACCTATTTTGACTCCATTTACATGGAATATTCAGAATAGATAAATCTGTAGACAGAGAAAGCAGACTAGTGGTTGCCAAAGGTTGGGGAATGGTGAGTAACTGCTTAACGAACATGAGGTTCCCTTTTAGGGTGATGAAAATGTTGTAGAACTAAACAGAAGTGGTGACTGCCCAATACTATGAATGCACTAAATGTCACTGAATTGTACACTTAAAATGGTAAATTTTATGTTATGTGGAATAAATTTAGTTTTTAAAGGAAATTTAAAAACTCACCAGAGACTAGAAAAATAATGAACAGATGAAAATTAATTAGATTATAGATAAGGCAGATGTAAGTAATAAAATAGCTTGAATCAAACAAACAGGCCGATGAAGGAGACAATGAAAGAATACTGATGGGGTAAACTGTGGAAATTTAGAGGCAGTGGAATACAATTTCCTCCTCTGAGAGAACATCAGCTGGCTCTATTTTAGGAGCAGAATAGAATTCACAAAACCTTTTAAAGTTCCATAAGATGTTATGGAAAAACCCGAATGAACATTTTGGCCAACCCACTAGCTTTGTGAGGGCCCTTATTCACAGTATCCACCTTACCTATAATTACTGGCACATATAGGCACTCTCATATGTCTAAATGAATGTAAAAATTGTTGAATACTGAGACTGCCCATTTAAGACCTAAAATATGTGGTAAAAAAAAAAATAACATTCTTATGATTCCCCACAGGGACTACTTTTCACCATTCAACAATCTCTTTGTCCTTTGACCCTCTTGCCAGTGACTTTTCCCTTTTTAATGTATCTTCTTTAATTATGAAAAGATTAGTTAGTAATTCTGTTTTAATTGTAACATATATTAAGTTTATTTAAAAAGTCACTTTAACCCAGTGGTGCTCAGTCTTATTTTGACTCCCTTTTAAACAGAAGCCCCCTCCATTGGGGATTTGGGGGCGGGGTGGGGGGCAGGGGGGGCTGACTTCATCCTTTTTAAAAACCCTCATTTATGGGTGATTCTGAGAGATCCCCAGGTTGAGAATCACTGCATGAAACTCGTTTTATTTCTTACTATCAAGAAATGCTAGTCTTTAAAAGAGCTGAGAAAACATTACACAGAATCTGTGAAACAAAGCTTCTCACACCTGTATACACTGGGAAAAAAAAAAAACAAACCTGTGATTTAATTAGTAAACTGACAGAGAACTCAAGAGACTGGCAGCTTTTAAAAAGAGATAGTTAATGATATGACCAACCCGGATGCTGATTCTGCCAATCTCTTGCTGAATGGCATGAGTTAGTAACTTGTATGTTCTAAATTAAATGGAGATCCCTTTGTACTCAATGATGCACTGTATGAATAACATTAAGGTTTCCCTTCACGTAAAATTGTAAAATGTGACAGCATACCATTAGTCCTGAAAGGTTGTTAAGAGTTCAAGGGGTCTGGGATCTACTGTCAGCATCAACCTCAACCTCTATGGGAGTTCATAATTTCTCAGTAAAATTGGGAAAGATACACAAACGGACCTACTCTATGGGTTGTAAGAAATAAATGTGCATATGAAAGCACTTGACACAGTGCCTAGTAAGCAATCTAGTATCTAGGATCATTGTATTCATATTCTTTTAAGCCAAATAAAAAGAAACAAAGAAAAGGTTCTGTCAATTAAATAGTTTTGTATGACACGAAATTTTAAAAAGCAAAAGGTAGAGGATGATGAAAACAAAAAATTACAGTTGGAGATCTTAATCTCAACGTCAGTCCAACACTCATTATTCAGATCTAGGGTCACAAATCGTAACATATGGTAGAAACTGTGAGGACAGCGGCAAACAAATGGGGAAAAAACAAGAAAAAGAAAAAAAAAGGAACGAACAGCACATCCATCAATGACACCGAATGCCAATGGGCCGACATAGGTTTTAAAAATAAAAAGTACTTCCAACTTAGAAGACACTAAAACTTTACAAGTGAGCCAAGACCGCCCTCCTCAGAGTTCAAATGCAACCTACAACTTCATCCCCGCCTCTTTAGAGCACTCGGCCCCCATTTCCAACACGAGCGGGAGCCCCAGAGCCGGACGCGCGCCCCAGGTGCCAGTCACAGGCCGGAGCGCCAGGTGCAGTGGCCGCCCCGCCCTCCGCGGACTGGCCGCCGTACTGGGGATGCCCGCGCGGGGGCGGCGGCCCGGACCCCCGGCCAACCACGCTCTGGTGCCCTGGTCCTGCCGCGCCCTGCCCTCGGCGGGACGCGCCACGACGACCTGAGTACGCCCGGGCACACCCCGGGCCGGCGGTCGCGGGGTGAGCAGAGGATAAAGGTGAAGGTGGGTGCCCGGCTGCCCCCAGCCTCCCTCCATCCTCCCCGCCCTCGGCCGCGGCTCCGTCCGCCTCCCCGTGCGTCTCACCGGCCTTCCGCCCGCCTCTCCGCCGCGCGTGCCCGCTTTTCGGCCTCCCTGCGGTCAGTCTTGCCGAAGGTCGACAGGAGCCACCGCTGCCTCCCGCTCGCTCCTCCGCTTCCTCCCGGGTTCCTACGGCTTCCCCTCACCCCCGCGAGTGGCCAAGAGGAAGCCAGCTAGCCGCTGGGCCGCCTCCCTCACTTCCCCGCCGCGACCAATGGGCCCCGCCGCCGGGAAGCCGCGCCCGCCCTCTGGCGGTGGAGGACCTAACGGTCGCCCCGCAGGCCGGAGGGAGGGGCCGTAGAGCTGAGAGGGAGGGCCCTGCGGCCCCGCCCCCCGCCTGCGCTGCGCTTTCGGGACCTGCCACGTGGGAGCCGCAGGGGCGGCGGCCGGCCGCACCCCAGAAGAGGGCAGATAGGTATCGTCGATTTCTACCACACGGCGCCTTGACCCACACTTCCATAATCCCCACCTTAAAGGAAGAAATTTTAAAGTAATCAGTCCCATTCCAGAAGTCCACCAGCTAGGGTATACGAGACGGTCAGTTCAACGTAAGGTCGTAGGCGAGTTCCTTTTGACTCCTTAAAAGCTAACTAACCTACGGTGAAAATACTACCTGTCGGAGCGCTAGAACGTTGGTAACCCCAAATGTCTGCCCCAAGGAGAAAGGTAGTGCTTGTATTTTGCACCTCACTTTTGTTTCATTTATTTAGGAACCCGACAGTTAGAAATGTTTTTCTCCTGTACACACCTTTTCCCACGATTGTGCTGTTAATTGAGAAGTCAATCCAAGTCCCACTATCCAAAACTTGAGAACACAAAATAGTTTCATAATTCCGATACATATTCCAGAATAATTAATAACTATAACTCTCATCATTAACTATTATTAGGTAGAATGTCGGAACAATACATGGTTGTAGAAATTAAATTGCATTAAAGAAATAATAGGGTCTAACCATAGTTAGTCTTCTACCAAGTCTTAACTTTCCTGCAAAAATATAAAACACAGAACTTAAGTAATAGCTATGAATTTGGAAGTTTGTGTTCCATGGTAGGAGGAGGAAGCAATAAATGCATTCTGAGAGCCTTATTTTGCTTGGACCTTGATGGGCCTTTGGGAATGTATTCTCATTTAATGCTCACAACTCAACCGAAGTCAATATGATCTGTATTTTGCTTTAACAAATCAAAAAACCAAGACTCCAAAGTTGAGTTTAAATCACTTGTTCAAACATATAAGGTAGTAAGTTGTGAAGTTGGAATTCCAGCCTAGTCCATCTAGCTCCAAACGAACAAGGCACTTTGTTTCTTATGATACCAAAATACAACATGTACTGTCACCATGCCTCCCCTAGTTCCTCAGGTCCCACTGAAAGAATTTAGAAGCCTCTTGATTAGGGAGGTCAGGCCATATTTGTGAAAAAAGTTTTTTGCTCCATAACCAAATTGGCCTGTATGAAAATGACATATGCTATATTCTTATAGCACCACACTTGAAACAATTTCTGGACTGAAAGTGTGTTGAATATCCAATGACCATAATATGTAACTTAGAACCCTTCAGTAGGTAATGAAATTAACAATAGTGGGTCACAACCAACATTTTGTTGTTGATTCACTGAAATAGAATAGAACAAAAAACATCAGAGTTCACAGCACAACTTGAGGATAAGTATTGTTTCATGACACATTTGTACAGTGTTAAGTGTGGTTGAATAGGTTACAGTGTCCTGGCCTACAATGTAAATTATATTTTTTCATAGGGATTGCAATGTTTAAAAGTTGGTAAATCACTTCTTTAGAGCAGCTGTTAATCAACTAGTTTTTTCACCTACCTTTTTACTTGGCAAGAGGTGGGGAGGCAGGAGAAATAGTCAGGATTAGTGATTGCGTTTAGTAAGACTACAGAAAACTTTGCAGCTCCAAGAGGCTTAATCCAAAGAAGTGTTGCTATGTTACATAATAGGTAATGATAATTTATATTTTTAAAGCTGATATTTATTATTATTTGTTTTGCGCCAGACTCCTAAGCACTTTATATATATTTACTCATATAATCCTCACAATAATCCTATAAATACAGAGAAGAAAAGTGCATGACAGAAAGAGAAAGTTGTCCAGGATCCTGCTGCTAGTATGTGGCAGAGCCAAGATTCAAACCCACATGCCCAAAATTCAAACCTCAAAGCTCACTCTTGTCTATACTTAAAAAGAAAATTAATTCTCTCTTCAATGGGTACAAGGTTTTATATAAAACTATAATTTATACTATACTATTTCCCACATAAAGATTATATAATATTGCTAAAGGTTAAACTTGATGAAGAGCCTCAGAGTATTAATTGGACCCATTCTCAAGCAGAATATTTCATTTGGCATCAGTTATCTGTATATGGAGTAGTAGACTGCCTGCAAATACAGCCACCAACATTCCTCCCATTCCTGTAAATTCATGCCACTTTTACGTAGAGTCTGTGTCCCTCCTCTGCAAACTAGGCTGGCCCTGGGACTTATTTTGACCCACAGAATGCAGCTAAAGTGCTGCTGTGTAACTTCTGGGCCTTGAAGCTTCCATTTTCTTAGGATCCAGTCATCACATAAAGAAACTCAGACCAGGCTACTGAACGAGAAGAAACTACGTGGAGAGAAAGAGAGGCCAACGCAGAGCAACTAAGCCCGTGCACCACAACTACTGAGCCTGCGCTCTAGAGCCTGTGAGCCACAACTACTGAGCCCGCGAGCCACAACTACTGAAGCCCACACGCCTAGAACCCGTGCTCCACAACAAAAGAAGTGACTGCAACGAGAAGCCCACACACCACAACGAAGAGTAGCCCCCGCTCACTGCAACTAAAGAAAGCCCACACACAGCAACGAAGACCCAACACAGCCAAAAAAAAAATAATAATAAAATTAAAAAACAACAACAACAAAAGAAGCATTAGTGGAGGAGAGGCCTAGTTAGACCAATACCATCCAGCCAGGCAGAGTCAGTAGATGAGTGAAGTCATCTGTGTAGTCCAGCCCCAGCTAAGCTCCTAGCTGAGTGCACCACATGAGTGACCCCAGACAATACCACATGGGAACCAGCCAGCCCACAGAATCTTGAGAAATCATTGTTTTTGTATCTTTTAATTTATTATTTTTTTAATTTACTTTATTTTTGGCTGCGTTGTGTCTTCGTTGCTGCGCGCAGGCTTTCTCTAGTTGCAGCGAGCGGGGGCTCCTCTTCATTGCGGTGTTCAGGCTTCTCATTGCCGTGGCTTCTCTTGTTACGAAGCATGGGCTCTAGGTGCGCGAGCTTCAGTAGTTGTGGCTCGCGGGCTCTAGAGTGCATGCTCAGTAGTTGTGGTGCACGGGCTTAGTTGATCCGCGGCATGTGGGATCTTCCCGGACCAGGGCTCAAACCCGTGTCCCCTGCCTTGGCAGGCGGATTCTTAACCACCGCACCACCAGGGAAGCCCGAGAAATCATTGTTTGTTGCTGTTTTCAATTGCTAAGTTTTTTGGTAGTTTTTTAATGTAGTGATAAGTTACTGAAACATGGAGGAAAAGGTTTGTAAAAAGACAAAGTAAAAATAAATAAACAAATACATACATACATACGTGCATAAATGCAAGCTGACCAGTCCTAGGAGTGGGATGACATTAAAATATTAAAGCATGCTTATACTGGATCATAAAGTCAAACTTGTAGAGAGATAGCCAGGAACTCTCCTAGCTTTTAAAGAATATCAGGGGGAGGGAAGAAACAGAGGTAGACTAATAAAAACAAGAGTTAAAAGGTCAAATACAATACCTACACTAACTTAAATACCACACCCAGGTGTGGCTTAAAAACTGTTGTTCAGAATGTTTACAGAAGTGTGCATTCAGGACTCTCAAACTTCCTCCAGCCTATAGGTATAAGACATGGGACACCAGTGTTACCCTCTCATCCTACCAACTCCTTTCCTGCCAAGCTAAACGTGTCATCAGTTGAGCCAAGTTTAATCCTAGTTGTCTCTGTAAAGACTCCAAATTTCCTGACTTCTCTTTCTCTCAGCCTGTGTTGAATGAGTCAGATGGACTTTTGCCTAAATGCCTCACCCTAAACTCCCCTCCTTTCCTTTCCTTTCCTTAGATACATTTACCATTTTAACATAAAATTTTACCATTTTAACTGTTTTTAAGTGTACAGTCTGCGGATGTTAAGTACATTCACATTCTTGTGCAAGCAGCACCACCTCCCACCTCCAGAACTCTTCATCTCGAAGAAATGAAACTCTGGACCCATTAAGCAATAACTCCTCATCCTCCTGTCTCTCCAATCCATTGCAGCCCTTCTGCATTCCATTTCTATGAGTTTGACTACTCTAGATACCTCAGATAAGCAAAATAGTATCGTTTAAAAAACTAGCTAAGGGCTTCCCTGGTGAAGCAGTTGTTGAGAGTCCGCCTGCCGATGTAGGGGACACGGGTTCGTGCCCCGGTCCGGGAAGATCCCACATGCCGTGGAGCGGCTGGGCCCGTGAACCATGGCCGCTGGGCCTGTGTGTCTGGAGCCTGTGCTCCGCAACGGGAGAGGCCACAACAGTGAGAGGCCCGCGTTCCGAAAAAAAAAAAAAAAACCAAAAAACTAGCAAGCCCACAGATTTCATGACACTGTATTTGGTCCATAATAACACAGTCTATACAAAATAAGTGGTTTAATTTACCATGAAACATATGTAAGATACAATGAAATCATTATAACAAATGTATTTTTACGTAAAGAAGTACTCTAGTTTTCCATCTATTACTGCTTTTCTAGCAACATACAAGAAAATTATAGAGACCATAAAATTTTGGACTTTTTTTAATGATATCTTTTTGCTACTCCCTAGGAAATTCTGGTTTGGATTAGATCTTTTAATAGATCTTTCAGTGTGGGAAAATTTGGCATTTTTGTCTTGGTTATAAATCATATTAAATAATATACTGAATATGGTAACCCACATCTAAAATATGTATTGTAATCATGACTGCAAAGAAACTTCCCTTTCCCTGAAAGTATGTACGAGTGTGTATTATAAACAATTATTAAGATTACTAGTGGTTTCTTCAGAAGAATAGTTTATTATTCTGTTTTATAAAACACTACTGGCTAGAAAAATGTCTGACTCAGCATCATAATCTAAAAAATACTTTTTGAAGTCT